GGGGGTGGGGGCAGTTGCGCCAGGGGGCCCCGGCCCCGGGGGCGGGGGGGGGGGGGGGGCTGCTTTTCCCCATGTTCCTCACCTGCTACTTCCCTTCTGGGGAGCAGGTGTTCGGGGCTGTGCACTGTGATAATAGTATTTACATTTATAACTCATTCTAAAAATGTATTTCTATTCTCCTTCTCCTCTTTCCCCCCCAAATGGAATGTTTCCTTTTATTTCAGCTAGAAGCAGGTATACAATTGTGTCCAGAGTTAGGGTAAGATTTTTAAGGTATTTAAATTGAAATTGTGTATGTCCCATTGGTGGAGTTAAACCTAAATATCTTTAACAATGTGGTTATAAGAGCAGGATAAAGTGATTTAAAAAATATGTTACTGAATTCTAGAATTCTGTTCATGTTCCATGTATGGACAAAACCATAACTTTGCTGGGTTTTTTTCTGTTAGTACTTGTAACTGAATGCATGCTTAGGGCATGGCTGCATGAACACATTACTGTGTTGATTTACTTTATATTTACCTCAGTAGCTAATATACTGTATCTCACCTTTCCTTCTTTCTTTGAAGGGAGATCTAACCTGCATTTACTATGGAGTAAGCATATAGGCAGTTGCCATGGAGTAGCTGTATACTGCAAATAGTGTATTTCAGTGGTTTTCAAGCATATTTCATTTGTTGACTCCTAAAAAATTTGGAATGGAGGTGCGGACCACTTAAAAAAATTGAAATGGAGGTGCGGACCCCTTTGAATTGTAATTGTGGGTATTCACACATTCACTTCACGTACGTTAGATTAATCATAGTCATTTTTTGCGGAACCTATAGATATAGGCTGTGGACCCTCAGGGGTCCACAGGCCACATATTAAAAACCACTGGCGTAGTTTATCTTTTGGCCACCGCTGGACCTGGCCCCAGCCTCATGGACACTGGCCAGGACCCATGCAGTCACAGCCTTAGCCCTGGACTGAGCACATAGCCCTGGCCTGCCTTACGTGAGGGTTTGGAGTCCCTGCAGCACTCACTTAAGACCTGCTTGCTCTGGCCATGATGAGCGGTGATGGCAGCCCCATTGTGGGCTCTGGCTCCCTCTTTTTCCTGCTGCCGCTCATCATGCCTGGGGCAGGCGGGTCTGGAGGGGGTGCTGCAGGGATCCCCAACCCCACCATGCAGGATGGGCCAGGACTGGGGCCATGAGCTCAGGCTGGGGCTTGGGCCCTGCCGCAGTGGTCTCCAAGGAACTGCTGCTGTTGCCACTGCCTCTGTGCTCAGGCTGCTGCTGCCAAAGCTGGAGAACAGCTCTAGCCCCTCCTCGGAGTACAAGGGCAGCCTGGAGGCAGCTCTGGAGGTGGCAGAGGCCCAGGTGTGGAGACAATGGAGGTGGTGACGATGGAGGAAGTTCCTTCTGGCTTCTGCCATCTCTGGCCCTGGCCCCATAGAGGCTAGCATGGTCAGGGCCCAAGCCCTGGGCTGAGAGTACAACGCCGGCCCTGGCCCCAGCTTGCTGCATGTTGGGGGTCAGGGTCCCTGCAGTGCCCACTCTGGACCCACCTGCGTTGGCCACTATGCGTAACAGCAACAATGGGAAAAAGCAGAACCCAAAGCCCGCACCAGGGCTGCTCTGCAACATCTCCCCACCACCACTGCTGCCTCCACCAGCACTGCCTCTGGGCCACCGCTGGCCATGCCAGTCCACCCTCTCCCATGCCAGCTCTCCCCTGCCTGTGGCCCCATCCTACATAAAGAGGTATAGTACCACCCCTATGGTGCAAGGGCTGGTACTAACTCAGCCTGCGGCAGCTCTCCAAAACCCTCTATGTGGCCCATGAACCCACATAATTGCCAACCCCTGCATTAGACACATTATGCCTATGAACTGTCATCTATTCTAGAATGTAGGAGGGAGCAAATGAATATGCAGATTTGCTCCATTTAAATTATAAAGAAAAACATTCTATTTGAGGTATATTTTACTGTAGAAAATATTGCAGAGAGATTAGTTGATACAATTATGTTACTTGTCTATAAAAAATCCACCCTAATCTTTAGGGGGGAAAACTGGTGCGATATGGGAAGTAGCATACATTTTTTAGGTTTGAAACTCATAGAAGTGTAGGTCCTATTTTAAGCCCATTATAATAATGTGTATGAAGCTTTTGAACCTTCCAACTATTTAAGAACATATTCAGACTACACTTCATAAGGTGTATATAGGCTTTTATATGAGATACTCATTGGATGACCTGTTTAAGCCAGAGATTTATAAATGTATGTTGGTTTTAAAGAGCTCTGCCTTTTATTAAAATTTATTTTAAATTCCAGTCATGTTCATATGGATTAGAGGGAAATAACTGCTTAATCCATGTTATTGCAGGGAAGTTTTAAATAAAAAAGGAATAAGAAAAATAATAAATGCATTCTATGTGTAAGCATCTTAAAAATACAAATGTAACTTTCATGTTTGTGTTTCAGGGAATCCAGATGCCTTTACAGAAATGTCGCCGGATCAGGAGTTTATAAACTCTATAAATCCAAGCCAGCTAGAAGATTCTGGGTGTGATATATCTAGTGACTATGCATTTGATACTTTAGACATATCACCTACCTTTCTGTACTCTGAGCTTAGTTGTAACACTTCATCTTCTAAATTTTGTTCTGAAATACTTCCTAAATTGACTCCATATTGTACTGACAAGGAAAAAACTCTCACTGCTCATATGCAGTTTTTGCAGCATCTACTTGGACTAAGAAAACTGACAGAACCAGGAAGTTTTCAAGCTGATTTTACAGAGTTTGAAAACAACTACTCCACAGTATCAGAATCTGTCTCTCAGTTGCTTGAAGGCCTGATTATTTACTGCAACAGTCCTAAACTTCCAGTTACACATTTTATGACTGAGGCAATTTGTGTTTTGAGCAGTTTAATAACTGATTCTAAATTATCTAATCATGTTCTAAAAAAGTGTTTCAAGAAGCTACACGAATTTAAGAAACAACTAATTCAGATTATTTTAAGCAACAACAATATCAATAGGGTAAGTTTAAGCACCTGTTACCATGAATATCCAAATATACAGTTTAGAATAACAGCATTATCAATTGGAAGTTTTTGAAGTTGAATATACTCTCATGGGATTTTGTGTGTGTTTACTTTTGCTGTGGCTTGAGAGGTTCTGTTACAAAGCACACCTTTTTTGGTTGCTGTTTATGGATTAAGTTTTAGGAATGCTTACCCACATTTTTTAAAGTTGAGTATGGATTTATGTGCATGCATATAAATGCAGTATTCTCTTAATCTCAGATTTAGAGTTTATTTTAGAACTAGCACACTTCAGGTAAAATAAAATAGATCTCACTGTTAGAAGGTATAGGAAAGCAAGATTTGCTTAGTGATATATTTCATTGGACCCATTTTGTAGTAGGGAGAGATGTCAGCCAAGCATTTGGACATGCACTGCTAAGGGACATTGTCATGGGCTTGTTAAGTACATGCAATGATTTTTTATTTTTCCAAGTTAACAATGCAACACAGGAGTCAGCAACCTATGGCTCACAGAGCCATTTGATCTAGACAACAGAGAAGGAGCTTTGGTAGCATTTGGTAGCAAGGGGCTTTGGTAGTAGTTGCTCTCCCATACCACTGCAGGGACAAGTGACAGCCACAGGAGCTCGGCTGTCATAGGTAGAAGCAGTGGCCAGGGGAGCTCTTACTATACTGTGGAGAATGGCAGCAGCAGTCATGTCCTAGCACCTGACCACCTCTGAAAGGGTTGCCAACCACTGATGTAGCATCACGTTCTCAGCTAGTGTAAATATGCATACTTACGCTGAAGTCTATCAAACAACATTAACTTATGCCATCAGGAGATCCAGCCTGCTGAAATTTGAAAATCCATATTTTAACTAGGCCAAAGTCAATAAGAAACCAATGTAGGAATTCAGTGTCCTTAGCTCCATTATATTTTGAGCTCCATTATATTAGGTTGGAAGGTTGGACTGTAAATACCACCTCACCTACATCTTTCATCATTTTCTTTTCTTCTGTCAAGTTCCTTGCTATTATTTGTCTTCTCCGGATGAAACAGTCCTAATATATCTTCTTATGCAAGGTCTTTCATGATGGATTACTTTCATTATCTGCCTCTGAACTCCCCTTTTCTACTCTGTGGTGTTGTGGGACTTAAAGTGGAAACAATAGTAATACCAATGAAATAAGAAGGGTCCAAATACCATGCTGTATATTTTGCTGGTAAGAAGGAGAAAGCGTTTGTAGAAAGGAATCATTTGTAGAATCGTGTTAGCTAGCACAATTAACAGTGTGTGGCACCCCAGGATTAGGCAGTAATTTCAAGATGTTTTCATTAGATTTTATTGTTGTGTTGTAAGCTGACATGATGCTGTTCCCTACCTTGGGGGTCTTTAAGAGAAGGCTAGATAGGCATCTGGCTGGGGTCATTTGGCCCCACACTCTTTCCTGCCTAGGCAGCAGATTGGACTTGATGATCTGTTGAGGTCCCTTCTGACCCTAGCATCTATGAATCTATGGCTTTGATCAGTATTTCAAGTGTTCTGTGCTTGAGGCATCAAAAGTGGAGCAAGATAGACCCAAATAATATAAATTCCTCTGTTCCTGATCCTTCAACTGTTTACTCTTTGATTCTTGATAATCAGTGTTATCCATAGTTTCCATATGTGGTTGGAGGGATTAGGTAGATGGATGAGAGTAGAGAACAGGTGGACTTGTAAAGAAAAAGTCTGTATTAGCTGGAGTTAACTGAATCAGGAAGTTAGAGGAAAAGGCAGTCTTATGAATTGGAAATTCATTTCCTCTTTATGGTAACCATTTGGTCAGCTCTCTGTCACATTATTTTTATGTACTCTTATTTTTTGATTCCACAACAATATGTGACTTACTGGTGACTAATATCAGCTTTTTTTTGGAAACACTTGTTGGTACATTTAAGTGGTTTGCTCATAGTTAACATTTGGTCTTAACATTAATGAATTAGTTAACAGTAGTGTATTGGAAGTTAATCTTGAGAACAGCTGCCAAATTTCTGGGGAAAACTTAAATAGGATATAACTAGTAATATCCTTAGTGTTATTTCAGTAATACTTCAGAGGGAAAAAATCTTAAGGTTTATATATTTATTTTACTTAGCTTCATTTTCAGCTTCAAATGTAAAAGAATATGTTTAGTGTAGCATCAGTGATGGTAGTTGCATGACTAATTATCATGCACCTAATATCTTTCAGGGGCACTTTTTGCTTAGTATTTAATTATTACTGTTTACTCAAACAGTAATTAAAATATTGCGATTATAGGTTTAAAACAAGATTACTAATAATTACAGTGTTGTCAACTGCAAAGTATGGCAAACTGGCAGAGTTTGGGAGAATTCAGATCATTTACCAATGTTTAAATGCCTAGAGCAGTGGTTCTTAACCTTTTTAGATGCAGAATACCCTCGATGGACTCAAAACATCCTTCAGAAAATGCCAGCTCTTGGTTTTCACTTGTTTTTTGACTACAGAAAAGAAATAGAGGAATTCTGCTGCAAAGATCTCAGAAAGACTACAGTAGATCAGAATATTTTTTACACTATGGATCCCTATTTCAAATCTCTAGTTTTATCTTGTGAATCATGTTAGCTAGCACAATTAACAGTGAGTGGCACCCCAGGAACACTTGAAAAGATCTCATAGCACCCTGGTTGAGAATCACCAGCCTGCAGATTAAAGGAGATAGAAACTTTTCTTGAGGTCTAATTTTAATGGTCATAAGGGTCTTACTGAATCTGTGTACACAGCTGCAGCACTCTTTTTCTTGACTGCAGATTAAGCTAGGGTACCAGAGTGCCTGGCAATACAGAGATTTTACAGCAGGACTTGGATGCATCTTGGTGTGAGTTGCATGTAGCCTTATTTACAGCCTTATTTACAGCCCCTCAGGTCCAAAAGATATAGATTCATAGATTCTAAGATCAGAAGGGACCTCAGTGGGCCATCAAGTCCTTGTTGGACTTGGTGTTGGCCACGGGCGACGACCTG